ATAGGTGGCACTTGGAGAGGAAGTGCTCTAAGGTAGCTGCTAAACTATCCAACCATCCAACATTCCTTGCAAAAGCATTATACAGCATTAAACCAACTTGTCAGGATTAAGTGGAGTTGCATTGTGGGTTCACATGAGTCTGGGGCTATTGTGTCGCTTGGCATACGGGGTATACCGATGCACAGCTGGCCCAGTGTTGAAGCCAATGTGTACATGAAGGCATCTGAAGGTCCATGGCTACCCAGATTCTGTCATCTTTCCCCAATCAAACCTGTGTGGCGTCAGCTGAGACATCAATTTCATCCCAGTTCTGATCTCTAGGATCAACACAGTGGGAAAACACTGGAGACAACAGCTGTAAGACTCCATTCCACAGCAAACTGTGGCTTGTATCCAGGCCAGAAGGGGAGCCACACTCTTCTGACATGGAGCATGCCGCCATCTCTATGACCCAGTGGATCTGGCATTTCAATGACTGTAATACAGATTCATGTGCGCTATCTTTTAATTTCCACCACTATTCCTTTGTGTTTACCTTTTATTGCCAGTGAGTGCATTTGAAGACCCAACCTTTATAGTCCTGTGTATTCTACATTACCTGTGTCACCATGTTCTCCAAAGATATTCAGGAAGACATCAGCATCAGTCCCACTTCCTTTCATATCAGCAGTGAAAACACTCACAAGATACTTATTTACTGCAAGACAAAAAATAACACATCAGGCCAGAAATGGCTTGTGAAAATCACTGGAAAAGCATCAAATGCAGTTTCCAATCCACAGTGGAGAATACTAAATTGCTCTATTCCATTTCTTAAGGTTCCTCAAATATCACCTCTGAGATGGCTTCCAAATTAAATATTTATAACTCTGGGTGTGTATTTGACAAACAGCTATGTTGCTACGACTGTCTCTTATGGCACAATCTCTTTGCAATGCTGGACTTGATTGTCATTAGGTGCTAAGATGTTAGATCGCATTACGGCAGGGGTCACAGGGACCAGTTTTACCCGAGGACTACACTGGGATAGCATTCAGTTACAACCTGAAACTATAGGACGGCCTGCAGACTTTCAGGCAGAGTAGTGTCTTCCTTGTCAAACACATCCAATTACTACTCAGTTTTTGTGGAAGGTTGCCTCATCTTTAAAAATGTATTGTGCCCTTTGTGAGGCTTCGGTTTACATTTACAAATCACTACTACGATCCACAACTTTTCCAAACAACGTCTTTCCAATTGTAATCGCTTGTTTTGTGGTTTTGTAAGAGGAGTTTGTGGCCTACATTTTGGGACTTCCATGGGGTTTAGACTGCCCAGGAGATCCCTGACGAACAGGTTGTCACCCTCCTCCCGGCTCAGCCAGTTGTTGCAGGGGAAATAGAAACGCAGATGGGGCCGGATCATGTCGGTCACCACCACCCTGTCCAAGAACCAGCTGGCGCTCATTCCCGTGTTGTCATGTTCAATTCTAGAGAAAACAAAAGTCCGAGTATCACATTATTTGATTTGCACACTCTAATCGTCTCATCACATGAGATAAAATTTTACAGTTTAATACTAAACAAGGCTATTAATTTCATACAAACCCAGTTGCTAAGCTACAAATCTGGTCTTTCTGGAAAATTGAGAGGAAAAATACTGTTGTTGAGAGAGACCTTTAAGAAGTACCAGTTGCAGCTGGTCACAATTCCTTCATATAAAATGCATCCAATTGTTAGCCGAGTGGTCTCCACGGCAACAGTGATAGCTCTGCTCGGTGATGATGGTGAGACGAGATGAAAAGTGTTTGATGTGATTGCTCTTGAACTTGTAGAGGTGGTGATTTTGCATGTTTAGAGATTTGGGTTTCATAAATCCTTGCATGATTCAGTAACTCGTGTGGGCTGGCTGTGACGTAGCTCTGCTTCCTCTTCATCCACTCATAACAACAGATGGGATTTAACCTTTTGTCACTGGACAAAATCTCTTCATGTCCAACAGATAAACACATGCTTACATTCTGCATGGTTTATTTAACCATGAAGCTTACGTTCATTGAGCTGCCTACAACTTGGGAATTTTAAACATTTGATCCAATGATGGAAACAACTCTAGTGTAGCAATGAAGAGAGGTTTTAAAGTGACTTGCATTTTCATATGATACAGTACCTTAGCTTTTTAATTGGGCCAATGTTTTGTGTTTTGATGCGGAAAACATCCGTCTTATTCTTCTCAAATGCATTCCGGCTTCTGTAAATCAAAAAAAAAAAAAAAAAAAGTGAGAAAGTATTAAAATTTGTGAGAAATCTGGCATGAGCAACTTCCATTATTTAATCCAGTGAGATTATAACAGACAGATAAAGGAACTGATCTCAGAATCTGTAAAGGGCATCACCCCGGCTGATCTAGCTTAAGGGACGCCTGTGGACTGATGGCGGTAGTATAATCTGAAACCTTCCTCAGGCTCTGGCGCTTCACCCCTCTCTCCTTGTTCATGTGTTGTACTTTTGCCCCTCGCAGAGAGGAAACAGAGTGTGTGAGCACATGAAATCCCCCTCTAACCCAAGACTGCGCATCAGATGGCCTCTTATATCTGTTGACAGATTCCCTGACAGACCCACATCTGTCTTTTATTTTTTTGCTTTTAATGTTACCCCGGTAAGGCCAAGGATTAAAGTCATAAACTGTCAACAGGTGAACTTGTGCCCTCATACACCATTTCAAGTTGCCCGCGGAGATGAAAAGGAGACACTGCAAACTTTGGAATTCATGCAATTTTAAATCTGCTGTAATCACACTGAATTTCCAAAGAAGTACATTCTTAATGTGCCTTGGAGGCTTGAAGAGATAAGCATCTCCCTTGCCCGTATTGTGCTGCAAAGTGTAAACCTATCACGACACAATACAGGCAGGACCAGACGCATATCGGAGTAAGGTGAAACTGCTAACTAAGCCAGAAGTTTATTGTGTAAATACCAGAGGAATCAAAGGCATCTTTGTCCAGTATTTTATCAAATTAGCTGTCACACAGTGTGGACATACTGAATACAAGTCACGTTGATACATACTGAAATGAATGAATGGGACCACCACAAGGTGTGGATGACATGATCCAGAGTGGTTGACAATAAGCTGTGTGTGTCCTGTACGCTGCCAAGGTAACTCTGTCTGTCAGTCAGCGTGAGTGGAGATAAAAGCAGCCTGCTGCTGATAAGATCCCCTGGAAGTCATTTGATCATCTGCATAAATGACATCGTGGTCTTCTTTCATTCCTTTGTGAATGGAAACGAAGACTAGCCATGTCACATAGTTCCTCCTTACTCCAGATATTCTGAGTCCAATAGTTGTTTTTGGTTGTTGTTGTTGTTTTTCTTTTTACATCTGTATGAAGGAGAGATTCCTGCTTCACAAGGAAACCATTTAGTCTATTTTCAAATGTCAAAGTTTTTAGAATGACCAGTGGAAAGTTGAATAGGAATTCTCTCCCATACAGTCTCATATTCACAATACAAGCAAACAAAGGTACAGAATGTTAACCATCTCCTTTTGTAGACCAGTTAGCAAGTACCTCTTTTCTGTGCTGAGGAATTAGGGAAAAACAGAAAACATTAAAAGTTAATGATTCACTGTGAAAATATGCGAGACCTGTAAACATCAGTAGTTATGTACATTAAGCATGGTCTTAAATCAAAAGGTGGAATTGTTGGGGAAACATTTTTATTTAGCACCATAATTATACTTACTTGCTTGCCAAGTGAACCTTGGGTGAGACGCCAAAGTCTCCAAAGAGGGTGACAAAAACATTGGCATCAGTCCCAGCTCCCTTTACATCCCCTGTGACTGTAACCACCTCATATACTGTAAGAAAGAGGAGACAGGATATTAAATACGACAAAAAAACAAAACACTCCCTCTTGTATTTATGAGAATCCCTGACTGAAGGCCGGAACCACCCCAAGTTACTTAGCTGGAGCAGTAGTTTTACTTTAGCTAAAACTGAATTTAAGTTAGTTTAGTTTTACAGCACCAATTCACGACAAAAATGTTATCCCAAAGCACTGTATAGCATGAACAGGGCCACTAAATTTATAGAAATATGTGATCATCTCTCTCCTGATGATGGAGGCACTATGCAGAGGAAGTTCATTCAGCAGCATTGTTTGAGATTTTGCTCTTATGTTCATCATCCTTTACTCCATAGATTTGAGTTCAAATGTAGAACTAGTAAATATTTGGTGTTTGACTTCACCATAACAAACTGGGCTAGATCTTGTATTGTTTCCAACGATGTTCCAATCCATTTTTACAAATAAAGGCACCATAAAACTTTAATGTTTGCACTTGAGGAAGAAAATGTACACCAGCCTGGAGGGAGCAGCAATCACTTTTCCAGTTAAGTACCATATCTAGCCCCACACTCTAGTGCAGAGATCCCAAACTGTGGGGGGCGCCCCCTAGGCGGGGCGCCGTGCAATTGCAGGGGGGGCGCGGGAAGCCGTCTGGATGAAAAAAAAAAAAAAAAAAAAAAAAAAAAACAAAAAATGCGATGGGTGGGGTTTTTTACTTAAAACTTCAAAATGCTATTTAGTCTAACGAACTT